ATGAACCCTGCCTGTATAATGCTAACCAAACCACCCATACGATCTCAGGCTTTAAAGATAACTGTTGTTGATTACTTGGTGTTATCGTCGTTGAAGAACTAGAATCCAGTAGTGAAAAGAGGTTTCACTGGCTCACTTTTAGCACCATAAGTATGCAAATTTGCTTCAGCTGGCAAAGATGGCTTTGCAAGCTGGAATAATTCACATTTTGCCAAAACAATAGACAGAATTTCCAGAGTGAGCCTCCCTAACTCCACATAGAAATGAAATTACAGTAACATTTACTGTAACTTAACCAACATTTGGCCAAACTCTTCCAAGACAATCTCAGTTTTAAATATTGCATCCTGTATCACAGTCTCTGCTCATCACTGTTATAATGCCTCATTCCTGTCTCCATAAACATGGGAAATGTCCTAATTATCTAAAGAACAGTTCCTACTTTTTTTTCTCACAACATAAAATATTTCAATGTTATCTTTAAACCTGGTTCTTATTTTGGCTTCAGAGAAGTAGTTATGGTATATGGGTCACTGGGAAAATGCCTGACTGTCTTTGGAGGCTGTTTTACCACAGTTTAGATAAAACGCAAGCCATTGTGCATATCTATCATCTAGCCTCTTCTTTGGGTGTTCAGCAACACACAAATAATGACACTGAAAGATACCCAGGGTATTTCCAAAAGATAATAGCTGATAACTAGTGGCAAGAGGAAACACATAGACTCTTGAACTTCTTACATTCAATGTGTAGTACATTTGTTGAAATGGACATTCGGTGGGAATTACTGATAATTCTGGAACAAGGTCAAAATTTTCAAAGCTATTCCTTACTATCTCTTTAGATCAAAATCTTTAGTATGTCCAGGTAGTTCCTCATGTCTTCCTCCTGGTAGAGAATGATTTACAGTTATAGAAGAAGATTTAAAAAATGGAATCTAGAGTAGAAGAAATATCTCTAAGCTTTGGTGTTATTTATGGCCAATAAGGTCATTCTTACACAGAAGCAAGGCTAACAGAAGCTTTAAGTAAACCTCATACACCTGACTATTCTTTTTTTTTTTTTTTCACTTTTCTTCCCTTTCTTCTCCAGAGCTCTCCTCTTAGTTCTGTTTATCACATTTTAAAGTCATATATTAAACTCATTTTCTCTGCTCAGATGTATTTTCCAGCACCCCATCTTTTGCTCTCTGCTCTTCTATTTGCAGTCCTTTAATAATTTAATTTACTCTCATGACTAATATTTATACTTATGATTCTCAAATATACAGCATTAATTCTTTTTTTTTTCCTAGGTCAGACCACTCATTCATCTTCACTTTTATGGTCTTCAGTTTATTCTCACCAGGTTCTGAAATCAAACTCAAAATCTCACTGTCCTTAAGTTTTTAACTCTTCCTAGGTTTCCAAGCACAATTAACAGTATCTACATCTAGTCCATAAACTGAACTAGAAACTTGGAATCATTCCGACTCCTCCACAAGACTTTCAGCTGCATAATGGCAAAGTTTTTGTTTTAGTAACCTTTGTATACCCAGTGAGTAGCCAAGTACACAGCACATTGCAGGTGCTTAATAAAGATTTAATCAATTATTAAATCCTTGACTCATTCTTTCCCATGCTCTTGGAATCCGTTTGGTCAGCTAAGTTTGCAGTTCTAATCCAAAAGCATTGTGGAAACTTATCGTCTTTTCTCCATTTCTAGTCTTTCTGCCACGGACCGTTCACTTCTCTGCCCTTTATGTCTTCTCATGACAGTCCAACCTCCACATCGCCACAGCGGTCATCTTTTCAAAACAAAAGTCTGACCATGTCATTCACCAATGTGAATACTCCTGTTGGCTTTACACACTATTTAACTTAGTTCTTGGCCCAAGAATCCAGCTTCTCACCAATTGCAACTTCTCCATTATAAACCTTATGCTCTACCCCATTGAACTTGCTTCCATTCTTAAACAAGGGTTCACTCTCCCATTTCCCATTGAGTTGTGCATGCTCTTCTCTGTCTAGAATGCCCTTCCACTCTCTTTGTCTCGTCACAGAGTAACTCGACATCACCTCTTTTGTGAAATTTCCTCTGATCCCCTCGGATTCTTCCTGTTTTATATCCCCATCACAATTAGCTCGGCATTCTTTCAAAAAATTTTCATATTATTTTTCATGTTCATTTTGACTGCTGCATTGTGATTTCTTAAAGGAAGAATGATGCTAAATTTATTTTTACTGTCCCCACAATCCAGCAAGATTGCAGCACATAATAGCTATTCAGTATATGTTTCAAAGCAAGTCTTTTTCTGGAATATTGAGAGTAGAAAACATAATCTGAATAGAATGGGAAGTGAAAGTATGTTTTCACCAAAACTCTGGAAAACTTTAATATACCATAATAAATCTCGTCATCAAAGCACTATTACTATTAGAACCTATGTCTGCAGTGGGATAGGGCAAAGGGCTGAGAGAAGAGACAGAAATCAGTTGAGTTTGCTTTTATATCTGTAGTAACTAGTTGGACAATTTTTTGCTTTTCTGACCTTGAACCATCAGCTTCCAAGAAGTCCACTTACGAATGGTTCCCTGATGAGATCAGCATGCGGCTCACGGGAGTGCTGGCCACAGCTGTTTATCTAAACAGGAGCAAGTAACAACTGGTACAGTTTCAACCCTACAGTTAAATGAAAAATGATTTGGCATCGACATCAAACTAACAGCACTGAGGTAGCAGTAGGTGCAACTTTATTCTATTTTTCTCTTTGGGAATTGTTTTCAGTTTCTCTATTTACAATGTATCACATAATCTTCTGAATAGGGAGTAAGTAATAGGTAGGTATGCACATACAGAATGTGGGTGGCAGCCACTCGATGTGTCCCTTTCACATCGATGTTTCTCTCTCTCTCTCTCCCTCTCTCTCCCTCCCACTCTACCTGAACAAAAAATGGAAAAATGTCCTCGGGTGAGGATAAAAAAAAAAAAAAAAAAAAAGAATATGTCCTTACATACATGTAGCTATATTTCATTTATTCCATCAGCAAAATAAACAGATTAAAGATATTTCCATAATCAACAGAATTAAAATTAAATAGTTCTTAAAAATTAATAAAAGTGTTTCTGCTATGTCATTTAAATACCTCTGAATTGAGCCTGAATGTACACACAAAAGAGGGTCATGATTGTGTTTTTGCAATTTTAACTCACTTATGTAATCTTTTATATTTCACCCTTCATGGGCTACACATAACAAGTGCCTTGCCTTTACATCACTATCAGCAGCTTATGTGCTTTCTTCAGAAGTACATAATAAAGATCTCTGTTATTTGATCTGATTGTCTTGAGAAAAGAGCATTGCACTCAGTAGTTATAAGTTTTTCTATCTGAGTGAATGAATAAAATAAAGAGGGCTAGAGTCTGTTATTGGGGACCCAGGGCCCAATAGTCACATGGGAGCGTTCTGGCCCACTGCTGAGCCTCATTGTTTGTGCCGAAAAGGGTTGGGGTGGGAAGGTGCCTCTGAGATCCCAGCTGGGCCCATCCTGTCAGCATTTATAGGTATGGATCTCTGCCAAAAATAATCTCACCCTACCATTGGCTTGATGATATCAAGTCTTTCAATTTGAGACAGAAATTCTCCTCTCACAATTGGAGAAAGATGTAAAACCTAACCGAGAAGGGCGCAATAATAGCACATTGATTTAATACAATGATAGGTAGAAATTAGTAAACAGAATCAGATCTTTCCATAAAGTCTACTTATTTATATACTTATTTAGATGAGTAGCATCATCAGAGAACGTGGGGGTGAGAAGAAATAAACCTACAAAGAATGAGGAAAGGGGGATTTCCAACTCGAAGAGAGACAGTGCAAGGAAGGAAGACAGAAAAATGAAATTAAGCTTCATCTATTTAAACCATTCGCTTACAATTGATAAAAGCGATAAAAATAATCGTGATAACAATAATTGAATGTTATTATGTGTCAGATTCTGTGCTAATCATCTTTTCATTGGGCCATCTGATTTAATTTCCTAAAAGAATCCTGGGAGGCAGGTAGTATTATATTCATTTCACAAATTAATAAAGATGTTAATTGATTTGCCCAAGGTTATATAGTTTTAGAAGTGGTACAACAGGGATTGCAGCTCAGGTCTGTCTTCTTCCAAATCCCATAACAATGTTATGTTTATGTAGTGCTTTCCATATAGAAAGATATATGTGGTCTCTCCTACTTCAATTCTCAGTTTAAATCATAATAACATTTAATTGTGGTTGTGACAAGACTTGGCTCAAGTCAAAAATTGAGTTTGGTCTTAAAGATACTAAAGAAAGAAACATTTGCATAGCAGAATTTCGATACCTGAGACTACCCCACCAGCTTTTAGGGGATTTGATTGAATTCACTGAATTCAATGGATTTGTCAGATTGAAAATTTGGTCAGTGATCTGCTGCAACTTCGCTGGGCAGTGAACTTCAGCAAGAGAAATCAGTGATTCTGTCTATGAATCAAATGTGCTTCAGAGAAGCTAGATAAGCACATTCCCTCTGCTCCAGAAACATTCCAGTTAGGTTTTACATATAATATTATCAGCCATATTAAATTACCACTAATGAAGAACAACTGAATATTCATCCTAATCATTATTATCCATTATTAATAAAGAGTAAGCTAGACATCTATTTACTCAGGAAATAATTAAGTCCTACTGTTTGCCAGGCACTGTTGCAGTTGCTGGGGATTCAGCAGCCACCATGGCAAACAAGGTTATTGCTTTGGCAGAGCATAAGGTATGAGAGGAAAGAGTGCCTCGTTATAAAACAAGTAACGGAGAAAATATCCCAGGGTTAAAATGAGATGATGTGGGCAGGTGAATAATTTCGGGGATGGTCAAAGATAACCTCTCTGGTAACATGCTTTTTCGGCTGAGGTCTCTTTGAAAGAAATCAGCCATGACTAGATCAAGGGGAAAGGGTTTATTAACATGTGTTGCTCTTTTTTTTTTTTTTTGGCCAGGGGAGAGCGCGAATGCAGTCCCTACCATAAGTTATGCGTCAAGTTTCCCACACTTGGGGAAATCACAGGGGTCAGCTCGTTCTGAGTGCAGTGCATAAGCCTCCCCCTGGGAAACCACCTTCATGATCATGGTACCTCCCCTGCCAAGTAAGAATGTGTGTTGCATCTTTTCAGGTTCTTCTGATATGTTTGGTTGATTATTCTCTGCAGTAAATTATCTGTTCCCCGTTATCTCCAGCCAAAACTAGTCCCAAATAAAACAACTTCCCCAGGTGATTCAGATATGTATCAAAGTTTAAGAGCACTGTTTAAAGGGCTGGAAAAAGAAAAAAAATGGGCATGTCCCTTTATTGCATGTCAAGTGGAGAGATTATTGAACATTCAAAATGAATTTTTTAAAGAATAAAATCACAAGCCCTGGCCAGTTTGGCTCAGTGATTAGAGCGTTGGCCTGTGGACCGGAGAGTCCCAGGTTCAGTTCCCGCTAAGGGCACGTACCTCCATTACATTTTGTCCCTGGCCCCAGTTGGGGTCATGTGGGTGGCAACCACTCGATGTGTCTCTGTCACATTGATATTTCTCTCTCTCTTCCTCCCCCTCTATGAGACCCGGGTTCAGTTCCCGCTAAGAGCACGTACCTCGGTTGCAGTTTGTCCCCGGCCCTGGTCGGTTGTGCGGGTGGCAGCCACTCGATGTGTTCCTTTCACATCAATGTTTCTCTCTCTCTCTCTCTGTTCCTCTCTCTCCCTCCCACTCTACCTGAACAAAAAAAATGGAAAAGTGTCCTCGGGTGAGGATAAAAAAAAAAGAATAAAATCACAAAATCCCAAGTATATTCCTAAAATTTAATAATAAGACAATCACTTAATTTGGATGATAAACATTAAATCTTGTTTTTAAAATATTTTTAAATTGGACTTCCGGTCAAGATGGCAGGTAGGTAAACTCGGTATCGCGTCCTCCCACAACCACATCAAAGTTACAACTAAACTACAGAACAACCATCATTCAAAACTGCCTAAAGTCAAGCTGAATGGAAGTCCTACAACTACGGAATTAAAGCAGCAGCCACATCCAGACTGGTAGGAGGGGCGGAGGCGCTGGCTGGTCCCACACCCACGTGTGGCGGATAAAAATCAGGAGGCTCCCGTGGCTGGGAAGGTCCTTTGTGAGGACTGAGGGGTCCCCGTCTCACACCAGGTACCCCCCTCAGGGTTCCAGTGCCAGGAAGAGAATCCCCATAACTTCTGGCTGGAAAAACCAGCGGGAACTGAGGCTCAGGGAAGCTGAAGCGACTGGAGCCCCAGGCAGCTCCTTAAAGGGCCCGCCCACGGACTTATCGGACTCTCTCCCTCTAAGCTTGGAGGGGAGGCAGCTCGAGGGGCACCAGAGACATACAGGGAAGAACTCAGCTGTTTGGCACTGGAGCGAGGGCTGGAGAGGGGGTTTCTCGGGGACAAACGTGCTGTCAGAGGCCTTGGATCCTTTGGTGAGCCCTTTCCGGGGGCGGCAGACAGCCACCATATCTGGGACTCCAGCAACCTGGGTCACACTGGTAGCCCCGCCCTGGTAACTCCATGAGGCCCCGCCCACCCCACCCAACTTTCAGGCCCACCCCACCCAACTTTCAGGCCCACCCAAGCCGTTGCCACTTGCTTAAACATAGGATTGGCCTGTCTTGGATCCTGCTTCAGGTTTTTCCTAAATTCTTTCAAACGAGCAGTATCTGGTCTCAGCGAGCCCCATACCTCTCATTAAGTAATACACAGAAACAAACACAGGGAGGCAGCCAAAATGAGGAGACAAAGAAACAGGTCCCAAATGAAAGAACAGAACAAAACCTCAAGAAAAGAACTAAGCGAAATGGAGATAAGCAACCTAACAGATACTGAGTTCAAAATACTGCTTATAAGGATGCTCAATGAACTTACTGAGAACCTCAGTGAACTTAGGGAGGGCCTCAAGAGCATAAAAAAGGACCAGTTAGAAATCGTGGATACACAGAATTGAAGGAGGCATTAACTGAAATAAAGAATAATTTATACAGCTTCAATAATAGAGTACGTAAATCCAAGGAGCAAACCATCGATTTGGAATATAAGGAAGCAAAAAATCCCCAAGTGTAAGGAGCCTTTGGGACAACTTCAAGCGTGCCAACATTCGCATCTTGGGGGTGCCAGAAAGAGAAGAGCGAGAACAAGAAATCAAAAACCTGTTTGAAACAATAATGGCAGAAAACTGTCCTAACTTGGTGAAGAAAACAGACATACAAGTCCAGGAAGCACAGAGAGTCCCAAACAAGATGAACCCCATGAGGCCCACACCAAGACACATCATCATCAAAATGCAAAAGGTTCAAGACAAAGAGAGAATCTTAAAAGCAGCAAGAGAAAGGCAGCTAGTTACCTACAAGGGAGTTCCCATTAGGCTGTCAGCTGATTTCTGAAAAGAAACTTTGCAGGCCAGAAGGGAGTGGCAAGAAATATTCAGAGTGATGAAAACCAAGAACCTACAACCAAAATTACTTTATCCTGCAAAGCTGTCATTTAGAATCGATGGACATATAAAAACTTTCCCAGACAAGAAAAAGTTAAAGGAGTTCATCACTACCAAACCGTTATTATATGAAATGATGAAGGGTCTTTTCGAAGAAAAAGATAAAATGTATGAACAAACAAAATGGCAATGAATACATATCTATCAACAATAGAATCTACAAACAAAATGAACAGGTAGAACAGAAACATTCTCATAGATACAGAGAACATTTTGTTGGTTGCCAGTTGGGAGGGGGGTTGGGGGAATGGGTGAAAAAGGTGAAGGGATTAAGAAGCACTATTTCATTGCTAGACTGACAAACCTCAAAGGGAAAGGGGTTGGGGTGGTGGTGGGAAGAAATAAAACAAAGAACTTATATGCATAACCAATGGACACAGACAATAGTGTGGGAAAAGGTGGGAGGGGGCGGGAGTAGGGAGGAGGGGGGTCAATGGGGGAAAAATGTGGAACATCTGTAATACATTTTACATCCAACAATAAAGATTTAAAAAAATAAAGTAAAAAAAATAAAAAAATGTGAAGAATCTAAAAAATAAAATAAAATAAAATAAAATGTTTTTTAATTGATTTTTTGAGAGAAAAAAGAAGGGAGAGAGAACCATGGATGAGAGGGAAACATCATCAGCTGCCTCCTGCATGCCCCCTACCGTGAATCAAGCCCACAACCAGGGCATGTGTCCTGACTGGATATTGAACCAGTAACCTTTTGGTGCAAGAGATGACACTTAATCCATTGAGCCACACCAGTCATGCTAAACATTCAATCTTATTTGTCTGTAATAAAAATATAACAGATAGGAGGCTATTTCTTCAAATATCCCATAAAATACAGTGGCTTCCATCAAAGTGATCTAGGAATTTTACAGTTGTTTCTTTTATTCTTCCAAGATCAGTGATTATTAATTGCATGTTTGTGAGTTCTGGAGAAAGAAACTCTATTAATTTGGCTTTGTGGGGAACATTATAAAATTGTAAAAGAGAGAGGGTGATAAAAGGAGAAGATTGATATCCATGTAGTGCCAAGAGGGTGACTAATGCGATTACTTCCTTATGAAGCTGTAATTCTCAAACTGTTGGTTTTTATTTTCAAAAAAACAAAGCAGATTTGAAGCTCACGCATTGACTTTTGCCCAAGAATATTTGAAAATTTCTTTTTACTGGATTAAAAGCTTTATTCCAGTAATGAAAACTTTTCCTTTGCAGTGTTTGATAATTATCATACTTGTAAGCAAATTGGCTTTAGCCACAATGAATAATACATATGGTCACAAGAAATTAAAATGTTAATATACAATGCTTTTTTATGTGGTATGGAAATACTAAGCAACCAGAAGTATAAAAGCATAAGGAAATCATTTATTGCTATTTCTCCATATTAATAATATCCTAGTAACAAGTGTTTATGGTATGTGTTATACTTTTTAAATTTAGATACACTGTGTCTGCATTTTTTTCTTTATGAACACAAATATTTGTCTACAACTATCTAATAATGAGAATGTATTCTTCAATTAATTGTAGCACCCCCCTCCCCCGTGTGGTCCTCACTACAGCTTCCTTTGAAGTATAGCAGCAACCACATGTCCACTCCACTAAAAAAGTGTTTCATCTTGAATTGAAGATAAACTAGCAATGTCTTTCAGCATTTCTTAAAAGAAGTCACCCGTCAACTTTTCACTACAGTTAGAGGATTCCAGGAGCAAAATGCAGAAAACTTAAAGTAAAATTTTCTTATAAAACTAAGACAATAGATAAAAGACATGTTGAAGACCTGGCCAGTTTAGCTCAATGGATAGAGCATCGGCCCACGGACCAAAAAGTCTCGGGTTCAATTCCAGTCAAGGGCATGTGTCTTGAATGCTATTCAGCCCCTAGCACTGTACTCTCATCAATGTTTCTCTCTCTCTCTCCTCCCACTCTATCTGAAGATAAATGGAAAAGTGTCCTTGGGTGAGGATTAAAAAAAAAAAAAAGACTTGTTGTAATAAACAAAAACATAGGTATTTAAAAAATCCTTGTTAATCTATAGTTGTGTAACAAACCTCCCTAAAATGTAAATGTATTATTATCTCTCACATTTCTGTGAGTTGACTGAGCACAACTGAATGGTTCTTGCATGGGGTCTCAGACGCACTTGCCATCAGATTCAGTTGGGCTGGATGGCCAAGATGGCTGACTCTCATCACTTGCACTTGATGCTGGCTGTTGGCTGGGTACATGGGTAAGGCTTCTCCTTATGCCTTGAGCTTCTCATATCATGGCAGCTGGGTTCCAAAAGCAAGTGTTCCAAGAGACCAAAAGTAGAAGTGCATAAAAATTACCACAAATTTGGTAATATAAAACAACATCCATTTTTTTTATTAATTTATTTTTGTTACAGATGTTTCTCCTTTTTCCCCCACTGATTCACCCCTCCCTCTCCCTCCCTGCTCTATCCCCAGTTTGTTGTCCATGTCCACTGTTCATGCATACATGCATATAAGTTCTGTGGTTTATCTCTCCCCCACCACCCACTCTTCTGGGGATTGTCAGTCTGTACCCCACTTCCACGTCTCTGGGACTACCCCATTCCTCAGATTATTATGTTCATTATATT